TCGGCTCCGCGTAACCGAAATGGCAACCGATCGAAGATCGAGTTGATCGAATGTCGATCTTCAGTCTTTATCGTTTTTCTTTCTTCAGGATTATTCGTGTTTGCGTTATTTGTCTATATAATTAATTTATTTTACCTTTTTATCTTAATTTATCTTTTTTATTTGTTTTATTATTTTGTCGATTCATATATCTTTTTTGTTCAGGAGTTGTTTTCTCTGTATTACGGTTATTCGTTGTTGATTTGAGAAGGAAGGAGATATGAATGTCCTTTTCTTGGTTCGAGTTAAATATTCTTTTCTTGATTCAAGATTCAAGATTTTTGTGGTATTTGTCTTATTATTTCGTTTTATTAAATTATTAATGTTTATCCTTTTTCAGGATCTGTTTTTTGATATCGTTATTCGTTGATTTTAAGGTAGGGAAGGGATGAGATATTTTCAGTGATAAGATGGAGTTAATTCTTGTTGTTGATTCGAGAGTTATTCTCCTCTTGTTATGTATTCGTTTCTTATCTTTTTTGTTATTATTGTTTCCCTTGATATTCCCTCGTTTAATTTAAAATAATATTTTCTACGGGATGAAACGAATCTTCATATAATTTTTTCAATTATAATAATTCTTTGTAATTCGCAAAATGATAATATACCCATTCGTGAATACGCTTGTTGAACAATATAGAAAAAGATTGACTCAATTTATGTATATACTTTTTCTTTTTTACAAATTTAAAAGAAACGTTCATCGTAAAAGATAAATGCAAGGAAGATTCGTAATTCGAATCTCAAAACTTTCCTTTACATTGTATTAACCTATTCGATAAATTAAGAGGAGTTAAGGATCCTATCGAATGTGATCTTGGAAGTGTGAAGGTTATACAACTTCTTCTTCTTCTTTTCCTTTTTTTTTTTTTTTTGGATCAAGTTTTGTCGTAGGCTTGGAACTGACAGCGAGCAGTTTTCGGTTTGTTAAGCAGTTTTTCTGTGCCCGTGGTTGCGGTCGTGGGTTAAGGTGTCGAGTTTGTAAGGATGGTTACCGAGGTTTGTGGAGTAGTTTGCACTTTGTCCAGCGCCTTTCCCCTGTCCGTTTCTTTGAAATTAATCCCGCTGAATTTTTCTTATTTAGTCTCGCCCCGGATCCACATTTATTTTCCCTTGTTCCTCCCCCTCTGAGCTGAAAAATGTGCACCGAAATACGATTCTTTTTTCTTTTTTCTCGAAAATCCTGCCCCAAATTATCCTTGACGAGCTTCTTCCGATTTTTATATAATAATACAAATAATGTTGCGTTTAATGATGTTTCGTTTATTGTTGGATAAATAGCAGAAAGCGAGTAGAACAGATGGAAAAAAATAGAGCGAGCCAGAGCAGAATGGGAGCTAGGCAAGTAGAATAACTCAGTCGCGGTCAGACAGAGTGGAACGAACCAATCTGGACGAATAGAGGACACGATAGATCGTGTAAAAAGGACAAATGGAATAAACCATTGCTCCATTGGAGAAACAACTTAAACCAGATTAAATTCTCTCCCTCTTCTTTTCGAGATTTAACCATATTAAAAATAGATTAATTTTTATTAAGTTTAACCAGATTAATTCTCCTTCGTTTCTTTCGAGATTTAACGATATTAAAAAATAGATAAAAAAATATCGAAGGAGCAATAATTATCCTTACGATTGACCAATTTTTCTCAATTCTCATCAACTTCTTCAAATATCCCTTCGAATACGGACAAGCCACGTCAGATTTCAATTTCGAAACACGAGGGGCGATTCTCCTTCGAAATCGAGACGATATTTGCCGAATTTCTGGGCAACGAAGTTTCGTCGAAACACGTTTCGTTTCTTGACCAGAGTCGAGCACAGTATACAATTGCTACCCCTTCGTTTCACGGCCCCTAACTTGGCCTCCTGTTAATATCACGCGACAAGGTTCGTTTAAACGGCGGCGTCCTCACCAGGAATCCGTGTTCCTCATAAATAAGATTGTCCAATTTAACTCTAAGGAATAACCGTGAATCACTAATTAAAACGGTTTATTGAAACCTCGAGCGGTTCTCCATCGGGTGAAACAATTTTCCTTGAATTTATCAACCTCCCCTCTTCGATCGAAATCGCGATAATTTCCCTTTTCCCTTCGTTTGATCAAACGACGCAACACGGTTATTCTCGTATTCCTTTTTATTCCATTATTATTATTATTAATTTTTCCATTCTCTCTTCATCGTGAAATTACGTCAAGTCGAGTACGTCAATTACTTTTCTCAAAGTTTGTTTCTCCCTTTAGAGATAAATTAATTTTTCGTGTAAAAATAAAATATCCTTTCTTTTCTTTCTCTTTCCTATTCTATATTTTCTTCTGTGTTCTCTTTCGTCCCCATTATTTCGATTCATATTCACATCCCGTATTATTCCTCGATACGTTTATCGCCTCTTTATTTGCTATATATTTATCCTGGTACAGGATCGATTTATAAAATTATTTTCTCTGGAAAAATTTTTCAAGTTTTTTTTTTTTTTTCAATCGATAACAGTTCACGACTTACACGTACGTCGAGAAATGAGTAATACGTGGAAGAAACGCGAACGCATAATAAATTCTCGGAGGGGTGTAAAAAAGGGGAGAGGGGGCGCGCGACGTTACGTTTCCTTTTTTTTGTCCGTTTTCGCTTAATTCGCGCGATTTTCATTTTCTGCCCCACTCGAGCGAGGCTTGCTCATTATTTAAACCGCGATAAATCGTTATTAAACCGCGAAACGATAACACAACCTGTGATTTTCGAATGTTTCTCGGGACCGATGCAATCCGTTAAATTTCCTACTATCTTGGACACAGAGAAAAATTACAATTAATTGTCAGTATTTGAAAACTTCAGATTTCAGAATAGAAAGAGATTTGTTTTTACTATGTATTCCTGTAAAAAATATTTTTGTTCCAACTGTATCATGCAATCTTCTTCATATTTATTTATTATTATTTTATTTTATAAATATTAACTTTCCTCCTACAATGATTATAATTTATAATCGTACGATTTTCCTTTCCCAAAAATACGTATATAGTTACTTTAGAAATATTAGAAAAAATTATAGTGCTACGCATTTTACGACGAAACATAATAATTTTATCATTTTAAAAAATTAATTCGATATGATTGTCCAATGGGATACGAAAAAAGATGAAAATCGAGAGAAGGAGGAGGGTGGCGATTTCCTGGAAACAGTGAAATCCTTGTAATGACCGGAAGTCTTATCGTTCCACAGCGAACGCGATGGAACCCGGATAAAATGGAGGTGGCCGCGCCAGACGGACGGGTCGAGATGTTATCGTGTAGCCAGCTCGTGTAGGTGTGCAGGCCTTGTCGTCGTTCTATTATCCGTTATGCGGACAACCGATAAATGAGGAGATAAGGGGGTTCGAATCCTATCTCCACCCTCGAAACGATGAATTTTTAAGGGCGCTCCAGCGAATCGCTTAATTAAGCGTCCCTATTAATTCGTTCATTATCGCCATTTATTCTCTCCTTCGTTCCCTTTCCTTTCTTTTCTTTAATTCTCAGCGGATTGAAAAATTATTTCCACGCAATTTCTTCAACACTTCTCCCTCGACACGCGTTTCTCGTTGTTGAACAAATCAAAACCGATCTTCTAGCAGGATCTAATGGATCTCTTTTAGTTTCGTTTCAATATCTGCTGGTACAATAATACTGCTGTTTTTGATTGAGATCTTAAGGTGGATAGGGAAATTGCTCGATTCGATGATATTCGATAATTCTTGGTTTTGGCAAGTAAAGGCGATAACTTTCTTCGTTGTTAACTCATTGTGAGCAGGACATCTACGCTTTGACTTGAATAAAATCTCTCTTTCTTTCTCTCTTGTACTTCATTAGCTGTAACTAGTTTTTTTCGAGGTATGTCGATATCAAAGAAAGGAATTACATTCTAATTTGCCTTCCTTTAACGAAAAAAGTAGTTACGTTTCTCGAGCATCGGATGATTCTTCGAGTCATCGTGATTTTTAAACTATTAAATTAAATTAAATTAATTAATATTCTTTGGCTGCCAAACTGTAAAAATACTTATTCGATCGACATTTTGAATTTTCACAAGTATTTTCATAACTCAATCTATACCTATTCCATTGAGATTATTCTACAGAATATGAAATCCGAGAAAAATGGAGAAGAATTTATTGAAATATATTGACGCATAATCTGCCAATAATTATTCAAAACAACTTAAATAAGAAAAAAAAGACTCGTGTATCGTAGTCGAAGAAGATCAATGACGAGGCCCGTTTATCAGAGGAGGAAAGGATATAACATCTACATGGGAAGGAAAGGACTTGCCTAAAGGCGGAAGTATTCGGCACAGAGGATGCAACAGGCACGACGAGGCCTGGCCGAGGCATATATATATACATGTATATCTATATATATACAGCGGTCGGCCGATCGGCACCTGCCTCGAATCGCAGCGATGATTTTTCCAGCCTCCGAGAGTCCATCCCCCTTTTCGTTTGCTTTTCTTTCCCCAGGGCGTGGCGCTCAACAGGCTTGGAATCCGGCCAACTTTCTGCCTTTCGCCCCTTCCCCCCTCCCCACGTGTCCTTTCCCCCATCCAGGCCCGTCTCTCTTTCCCTACCCTTTCCCCCGCCCACGGAACAACAACAGAAGGGAGAAGGAAATTAAGGGCG